AAAAACCGCACTTTGACCGCGCTTTCAAATTTTCGCGAATTTGTGAAAAATAAAAATTCGCTGGAACCTTGAAATATGATTTTTAGAATTAGGTCACCTAAGGGTATCTTTGGGCAAAATATGAGCGATTTGCCAAATGGGTCGTTGACCGGCGGTTCTCGATCGTAACAGTCAGCCGTTCTTAAGCCTTCATCAGTTGAAAAACCGCTTGATGTTACACATGACTTAAAAACTTTTTTAAAATTGAAACGTTGCGTGTGCTGTATGCGCGTGACTCAAGAGAATTTTAAGTGCGTGCCAAGGACTTGTAGACTTCAGGGATGACTATGTGATCATTACCAGCATTCGGGTCTTTTACAGACAGCAAGCTTCTAGAAAAAGCCGCTGATAATAATGTGCCTCATGTCTGACGACTTCAATCGTGTTCGATCATAACTCCAAACTTGCGTGCCATGTTCACGAATGTCATCATCACATGGATTTTGAAAACGTTGATGTCGTCGGACATGAGGCACATTACCATCAACGGCTTTTTCCAGAAGCTTGGATGTCTGTAAAAGACCCGAATGCTGGGAATGATCACATAGTGATCCCTGAAGTCTACAAGTGCTTGGTATGCACTTAAAATTCTCTCGAGTCACGCGCAACGTTTCAATTTTAAAGAAGTTTTTAAATCACACGTAACATCAAGTGGTTTTTCAACTGATGAAGGCTTAAGAGTTAGCCGAAACGTCTTGCTACAATATACAAGTCAGTGACAAAAAACAGCACTTTTATCGATTACTGTAGTGTATATATACCTGTTAGCATGCTCTCATTCACAATGCAGTTGCCACTTATAAGAACAGCATCACAGTGAACTCGGGAGCCTTTTGGTGGAATTACCAGCACATCACCAGGGACAAGTTCTTCAGATGTGACATCCACTTGAACTGTAAAGATTAACAATTATTGTTAGCAAACTGTCTTTGGAGCATGCTGTTGTGGTCAATATACTAGCTGTTAAATAATACTAGAGATCAATATCTATGTAAAATAGCCACCAGGATTGCTGGAAATCCCAATCTCCACTGGGACAAACTCTTGTCAGTTCATTTTGGTGAGAATCAACAGTGAACAGGATTTTGTGACTATTCTCAGCAAGAAGGAAATTCGTACTAGAAAACAAATGAATGTGTTTATAAAATGCTAGAGAAAAAAAGGCAAGGTGAGTATTTTTGTTACAGTTTGAACTTGAATATAGAAAAGTATTTTAGCAAGGACATTCCCACATATTAAGCAAAAATCCCCTTTTCTAGAACCCTCATTGTGATGAGTCTTTTCCCATGACCTTGGTTAAGATTCTCCTACACAGACCTCCCACTCAGTTAATAAGAAATACTTGAATTTCACATTTCCCTGTGAGTACAATAATAACTCCATGTAAAATGCAGGGTATAACCCTGTCATGAGTCAGCCTATCTAGTAACCAGAGCTTGTGGCCCCTCTGACAAAAATAATACCCAGTTTACCAATCTAGGGGAAGAGAAGAAGTTTTCGCTAGATTGTTCTGGGCAATGGGCACATTAAGACAATAACAAACTGACTCACTTTCTACCAGTCTATATTTTGCTGGTGTGTTGAGAAGGGAAATGTGCACAATAGTCTCAGACTTGATTTTACCATCAGGGCCAGGTTGTTCGGGAGCTGCTTAATGCTAATCCAGGATGAAACCTTAACTGAAGTATAAATTTTTCTTGTATACAAATTTTTTTCACTGCTTATTTTTTGTGTATTTTGAGATTATTCAAACTCAAAACAGAAGGTCAAACAATATCGGCAGAAAATCTCACCACAAAGTTACAAAACTGAAATCAAAATTCTCGCTTATCCTGGGTTAACTTAATCAGGCTTTGAACAACATGGCCCACGCTTTTAGCCAGGATTTGAAAAGTGTTATAAGATTAAATTTGGAAATACAGTTAACAATAAAGATTAGCGAAAAAACTGAGCAACGACGTTTCGGTGTCATCCTGGCACCATTTTAAAATGGTGCCAGGATGACACTGAAACGTCGTTGCTCAGTTTTTTCGCTAATCTTTATTGTTAACTGTATTTGAAAAGTGGGTGTCAAAAATGTGCTATGGGGCCCACTTAAAAGAACAATAATTATTTATAAGGCAACATATGGAAAATAAAATGATTCTCTTTAATTAATTAATTCTCTTAAGTGGCCGTCCATAGGACGCATGTACACCCATCTGGCTTAAGAGCCTGTTTACCATCCACCAAACTAATAACAGGCATATGGGCTTATAGGAGTTAAACAGTCAAATAAAACTAATTCATTCTTGAAAAGTTTTGCCAAAAACCTAATCAGCTTGTCTTTGTAAAACATGTTTCAAACAGTTGTAAACATATTTCAAACACGAATGCCCTTGAGATGCTATAGAGATAAGCACCCTTTTCATATGGAGGGTCACTAACAGTCAATTAATGTGGATCAATTTATATTACCTGCATTATTACGTAGCACAGTGACTGTTTCTGACACTGCCACCATGTCCCTTAACGTCACAAGGTGCTAAAAGAATAAAGACTTCAGCTTACCAACAATAAAAACAATAACCTACATCTACACCACAAAATGCATGTAAAAAGAAACAAAAAATACAGCATTGTTTGATGCTATTACCCTCCTAATACCAAACCCTCCCTTTCTAATAAGTGTTCCCCCTAAAGCCAATTTTTCTTTTGCAACTTAATGCAATTTTTGTCATCCAGAAATTACAAAATCAAAATTGTGCATGTAAACCAGCGGCAATTTTGATGCGACCCTAATGCAATTTATCTATGACTCCAATGGTTACAAGAAGAGCGACAAATGAGCTGCAGCTATGGAGGAAATTCAGAGAAGGGCAGTTCAAGGAGACTTGCACTGGTATGTCTTCATTGAGCACTGATAATAGCAGTGGCAATGCACAAACAAGCAGCAACAACCTTTTCCTCTACATGTACATCAAATTTGCCAAGTAATTCACAAAAGCAAAAAAAAGAGGAAAAATTCAGGGAAAACCCACCTACCTGCATCATTATGCCATTTTGTAACCAAAGTGTGTGCGCCTGCTCTGTGGCAAAACTGCTGCTCAAAGTTGCCATTTTTGTAAGTTGAAATCCAGTCGCGGCCAGCCGCGGCGCTAAATTGCATTAAAATTGCCCTACAATCACAGCTGGTTTACATGCACAGTTGTAAATTAATTTTGCAATTTCAACAAAACAAAAGTTGTGTTGAGTTGTACGACAAAAATTGCCAGTCTAAAAAGGACCTTACATGTAGGTGTTTTTTTTAAATTAGCACCCCTATGCCAAAAAGCACCTCTACCAATGAGCCCCCCATTGCAAACACTGCAAATGACATAAGCTACATCAGTGAACTATTTACAGTCCTCTGCTGTCTCATCTGAATAAAAAGTTGAACATGCTGAGTTTAAAAAACAGAAAGGGTGATGTGATGGTTATGAATATGATCTTTGAGTCCAGCCAAAAGGTCCCAGCAAAGGTGTATGCCAACTCACTGAACTAGTATCCATGAGATTTCTAAGGGAAAGGATCCGACTGAAGTAGGGAGATACATGTAGAAATAAAGAGTAGAGAAACCCTTGAGCTACATGTAGGGTTACCCTACCATGCGGCACAACTCTTGCCAGTTACACTTTACTTACCCTGATAAATAACACATGCAAGTGATAATAAATTCATTGCCAAAACCTATTTTCACTTGATTTGCATAGTTTATTAGTTTCACTGAAATCGCTTCAATGTCTAAGCTCACTAAGCCCCAGACATTCGTTTTTCATTAGTTTGAGATGAATGGCAAACCTACATGTATAAACAATTTGTCAATGGCAAGATACAATGGCCGGGCACTTATTATTACAATTGCTAACTATGCCTTTGGCCAGCAGATGACAGAGAAAAGATTGTGAACATACTATTAGTTAATAAGATTGGTCACTGATGCACTCATTCTTAAGTATGAACATGCTATCACAGTTAACCATCACGAAAAGCACTTACTCTTCTTGTCTGGTATACTGTAATGATAATTGAAAGCAGGGACACAATTAAAATGGTCACCGCATAATAATAATACTCGTCAGTTGACCACAAGATGATACTGCAAAACTGGAACACATAAAACGGATCTGCAATCTAAAACACATCATTGTGTTACATGTAGGTATCTTCAACAATAAACTGTGTTTGATAATGGAATATAAAGGGACATGCAGTTTTTTCAAACTTGATGCCAGTGATTACTATTAGCACAATTTTACTTTTGGAGTTATGTTCCCTTCTATAATTTCACCCTTATTTCACCATGGCAGCAATTTAATAGTTTAAGTGATGTATATCAGAATTGATTATTCTAAGGGACAAGCAAGTATGCATAATTGGTGGTAGAGTAACAAAAAAAGGACTTAAAGTAATTTGACAGATTCCTAACTACCAGAGAGTAGAAAAACTGGGCTGAACTACCTAATATGCTTATCCCATGGCCTATCCAAGAGTTTTCTAAATATTCCACCGTTACCCTCAGCACAAACACAGTATAATTACTAAAGGAACATATAAAGCAATGGATGCTGTGCTCGTACAATATGGGCTGTATCAGTTATTTGTTTTCATTGTTTCTAAACACATTACAGCAGATTGTTGTTATTGGCATTTACTTCAGAATAGAAGATTGATTGAGGTCTGGTCAGGTCTGTCCTTTCCTAGCAGAGGCATGCTGATGGTTGATGAGATGGATTCAAGACTGGCAGGTCCTTCCACAGCAGCTGCAGGGGAACGTCGGGTCTCAAGTGTGCACAGCCTGAACACGGTTTTTCCACCTTGAACACTTTTCCTTCAGGCTGGCACGGTGGTTTGCTTCAAAGGTGTTGGTGTGTTGGTGAAAAGTATGGCATTAAGCATCCTTGCCAGTAGTGTTGGTAGTCCAGTGCCAGGGATCAACTCTGCAGACATTGAGAGCCATCTTTAGCACATAATTGTAACACTTCTTCAGTGTACCTCTGTTGTAGTGGCCAGATGACTGATCTCCAAATAACATGATCTTTGGGAGGCAGTTGTCAGGCATTCTAGAGACATGTCCATCCCAGTGAGGCTGTGTCATAAGGAGGTTGGCCCTCTTGCTAGTGTTCTCAGCGATCGCAAGGTCCTCCATGTTGGTATCCATTCCACTCAATCTTTCCAGGAGACAAATGTGACAACGATAGATGTGAAACAAATAACCTGCGAATAATCAAAAGCTCTAGAGGCTTGCAAAATCGCAGTGTCCTGAGAGATTTTTGCGATTATTAAATCTACTATAAATAGACATAAGCTTTTTCCGAGAGCTGTTGTGTAACCTTGTGATATGATAGCTCATCATACAATGTCAAAGTTGTTGTTGTTAAACATGCCCAAAACTTTTTGCCTGTGGGCAAAATTTTAATGCTCAGATTGGATTTCAGTTCATGAAGTTCTAGCTAGTTCTCCTTGCTCCCACTTTGTGGGATTCCACGTGCAGGGTTGAAACTTATCTGACATTATCAAGAGCTTTAGAGGCTCACAAGACCACTGAGTGGTGTTCTAAGAGACATTTTCAACAAATACCACAGTGGCCACAACAAATTTGTTCACTTTGGTTTCTCAAATAATATAATATTTCAGGAGCTTAACCCTCCACTGCACAATAGTACCATCAATATGTAAAGCGGATTGCCTCTACTTGATCTTCATTAAACTTTGGAGCGGAAATTTACCATAGGATCTTCCAGCAACTTCACCTCTGTCTTCACATTTGGCTTGGAGTGCCTTGAGAATTTCACCTGGAGTTTGCACTTTTCTGATCCCAAGACCAGCCTGACGTAATAAACTATTGCCCAGGATAATAGCATCTGTGTATCAGCAATTGCCATTGCTCGACAAAGCAGAAATTTCCATTGGCAGCTTCGAGTAATTTCCATCTTGCAAACAAATGCTGTCAAATTTGGCTTGGAGTGCCTAAAGATTTAAACCTTTAGCTTGGAATTTTCTGCTCCAAAGGCCAGCCCGATGCAAGAAACAATTGTCCACAAAAACTTCTTAAGGATAAGAACATCTCCGTAATCAGCAATTCCCACTGTTCGACATCAAATAACATTATATGTTACAATTCAAAAGTATCAGCCCTGGCACTGAGCTGCAAACAGTTCAAATAGATCACAAACGCACTGCCATTAATCCGAAGATGATTACAACTGTTTACACAATCTCCAGGTTAAAAAGGTAAAGCCTGCATATAAGCCAAGTGGCCCATCAGGCTGGAGCTTATCCCGGTTTCTGCAGCATGAAGCAACTAAGAGTATTTCTACTTCCCCTGGATGGGATGCTAGTCCATCACACCGCTACCACCAGCATCAAGTTTGCCAGTACCCATGGTACTCGCCTGGGTGGAGAGAGGTGCTGTGAGAGTACAGTTTTTTGTCCAAGAACACGACGCAATGTCCCCAATCAGGCCTCAAACTCGTACTGCTCAATCTCACACTCATACCATAAATAAGTAGTGTGTATCGGTGAAAATGTCAAAAATGAGCAAAGAAAGTGTGCTGAGGCACTATTTTTCTTATTCCAATGAAGAAGCTGAAATGGCACACATCATACTTTCTAAAAGATGACATAAAAAGAGAGCAGCCCTGGTTTAATTATTAGTGGAAAGCTGAACCAGAAAGTCTAACAAGGAACAATGGTTACAATTTCTGTATTTCTTGGTCTACTGTTGTTTTTTCTTGTGATATGGGGCTGGGGGCTCTTCAATTTAGTCAAAATTTCTTTTGGTTTTCTTATATTCATCCCAAACCCTGGCAGCCCTATATTAGACCCTCAGTTTTATACTACTCTTTCTACCTGTAAAACCTTACCTCTTCTAGGAAAAGCCTTCCATACGATTTGACATTAACATCAATCACATTTGGACCATACATTTTCTGTCTTAAAACATGAAGGTGGAACAAGAAATACATGTTAATAAAAAGGCCATGTACTCTTAACTGTAAGAAAATGATTCATGTAATTACAACACTTAACTACAAGGCCCCTACTAGAATGTTCTCTTTAAGCACTGAGGTAGAGTTAAGAACCTAGGGTCTTTTCTACTAAAGACAGTCAGCTTAGGTGGGTGTGGTTCACGGAAAGTGAGGAAACCTGTAGGACTTAATTGATCTACGCTTTAATACCATGAAAGCCCTATAAGCAATATAGACACTTAGATCACAGCAACTATTTATCTATGTTTCTTCATCTTTACTTTAGTACATTTTATTTGACTAGCTGGTCTTTAGGTAGTCCATAAGGTAAGAAAATGTCATGAAAGTCAGTCTTAAAGTACTGAAGCTGTTGACCCTAACACTGAAGTGAACTCCATTGCTTTGTTTCACCTGTTTATTTGTAACATATCCATTTTCTCAGTTGATTATGTACTCATTCAGCAAACCCAGTTTGCACTGAGATTCTACTTAGACAACTGTGTAGGCATCATCACTCATCATTACATGTGATCACAAACTTCACTGCAAGAGCATATTTGATCTTGGCAAACTTTGTGCATATCACAGATATGATATCCTCCCTTAGCTAGTAGAAGCAAAATATTCAGATATCCCTTTGAAGTACAAACTTTGATGATAGAATGGTCACGTACAAGTTGATCATCAGTCCATGTGTAGGGTCAGTAGGTTTAAGAATTCATTCAACTGGGCAGTTGGAGAAAACCCGCCTCTAACTGGCTGCATGGAATAAGTTTCTTGTCAGGACATTATATTTTCGTTATAATTCAGATTTCTTGTTTGGAGAAGTAAATTGTCAGCAACTGGGATACAGCACAAGACAAACACAAATTTAAGCGAGAAGGATTTCCTTGAATGATTTCACTTGTTTAATACTGTAATGCACCACAGTCCTCAGATGTAATTTTGTCAGATATAAACTTCCAAACATCGTAACCATTCAATAAATTAAGTCAAGAAGAAGTTGGGATACGAAAGATTATTGACATATAAACAACCCTGCCAAGATTTAGGTCTGTGCGATTTTTCATTCGCGCATTATTCGGAAAAGTGTTTCACTCAATTTTATAGAGCTTTGCATAGAGTCGACATGTTTGTTTCCCTCCCAGGGATACAAACATGGTGGCCATAAAGAAACAGAAACATCTGTCATTGCATTTTGCCATTGAAACCAAAAGTTATTACTCTAGAGCTCCGACAAATTGAAATATTGATACTTCTTCCATAGCAAGAACTCTTATGTTAGCAAAAACTTGAGTAATAACTCATCTTTTGACCTAGTCAAGAACCTTATCAGGCTGCCATTTTAATGTCACGCAATGCATAAACTTGGAAAATCAGACATTCTCTATTACATAAGGAGGAACCCTGTCAGGCTTAAACGTTGCAAAACATCAAGTTATTAGAGGGTCTTACATCTGATGAAACTAAAACTTCAGAAGGATTGGAAATTTATTATTTTGGAAAAAGATGATGACACATGAAAACCAGCAAGACATGGCATCCTTGCACTGAGGGAATTGCAAAAAAACTATGGCAAAGTTTTGAAAACAATACAAAATAGTGCTGTTCATCCTCAGCAAAAATAGAAGAAAAAAAAGATCCTTCATACTGGCCAGATTTCAACCAGTGACCCTAAGACGGTAGACTAACACTGCACCCCTGTGTCCTACCAAGTGAGCTATAGAGGTGTCACACGAAGACATAATGCAATTATTAACTGTTTAACAATTATGCATACAGATTCTCTTATACAATATTGTTAGTTACTCAGCTATAAAGAATTTAATCCAAAAACAAAATGGATAATTTTAAGGTCACTGATACAGAGGTGAGGTCTGCTAAATTTCAGATCTATAGCTGATACTCAAGCTAAAAAAATATATTTGTTTAACCCATTGACTCCCAGAACTTTTTGCCAAAAACGCATTTTTTGGACATTTTGGAGATTTTCAGGCTGGATATGGGCCAAATTAGCTCCAATCTACTCAAAAAGGCATTTGCAACATGGCAGCATGCTTTTCTTTCCACTAGCATCGCATTTTATGACATGTTTGCACACAGATCAAAATTTACCTACGTCTTTAGGCTTTTCATTTGTTTTAATTTTTTTTGTCTTTCCTTTTTCTCCTTTTCTTATCTTTTTGCTGCAGTGATTGACCTTCTATTGGACTTGCTTCCAGTTCAAAAAAGTCTGAGAAAGCATCATCGAGATGGGCAGTTTTTACCCTGGAGTAGCCATGTGTAGTCACAGGAAATTTTGCTCTGAGTTTTTCACTCAAATTTCTCAGCATTTTCGTGCATATTTCAGGCTCCATTGAGCCGATCACTCTGATTTGAGTATCATTGGAAAGATCTTTTCCGCCTTGTATCGGTGTATACCAATATTCAATAGGCTGTCGGTTTCAAACCATTTGGTAGTAGAAGCATAGCGTATAATTGAAACAATGATCAGTCAATATAATATGAAGTATGTAGTTCGAAATCTGCAAAGTAATGCAAAATTGTCTATTTATGATCTTCAGATAACAGAAAGAAATACAAAAGAATATTTACCAGACAGCCTTCAGATAATGTCTTATCACATTTTTTTCTGTGTCAATTGGCCAGTGATACAGTAATTAGGCAATTATTGTTTGTCACATTATGGGTGCGTAATTATGTGAAATTATAATCAATGACGATACACTCCTGCAGAAGTTGAGTATAGATGATGCCAATTTTAGTCAAAGCTGATGACGTCAGAAGTGGAACAAAGGCCAAGGCTCATCATGGGTGGTTACGGGCAGCACAGGAGTCAATGGGTTAATTACAGAGCATGTACAGTACCGTGCAAAAGTAATTTCTGGGGGGGGGGGTACCCCACGAGTTGATTTCGTTCTCTTCAAAGGCCTTCGCAACTCTTGACATATGCTTTGGATCGTTGTCCTGCATGAATCTGTGGTTCGGTAGAGTGTCACGAAGGAAAGGGATCAGCGTGCTTTCTAAGGTACTGCAGTATAAGCTAGCCTCCATAATGCCTTCAGAGATGCAGATCTTTGTTGCCCCGTGTCTGCTGATGCCAGCCCACACATGAAGCTTCAAAGGGTGTTTTGGTCTGGGTTTCCTCTTCGCAGGTTCATCGATCTTTCGGTAACAAGTCCGGCGAAACTGTTCAAGGGAGATAGAACTTTCATCGCTGAAAACAACATTGTCAAACGTGTCTCCAGTGTTGATCACTTGCTGGGCAAACTCCAACCTCTTTGCTTTGTTTGCTTCGCAAATCATCTGGCAGTATCGGGTGTTTTGGAGAGTCCAGCCTTGCTCTTTGTGGTATCTTTGGACTGTAGAGGAATGGACCATGACACCACGCCTGGTAAGCCTTTTCTGGATCTGGCGGCTGGTTGTTTCATCATTTGTTCGCATCTGAACTTCGATGAAGGATTTACCGGCCTCATTCAGCTTTCTTGGGTGACCTGACCTGGCGCTGTTCTTGATGGATCCAGTAAGTTTCACTTTGCTGACTATTCTTGCAACACTTGGATAACTGACCGGGAGACCTTCAAACCGTAATTGCTTGAAAATTGCGACAGGTTGAAGACCGCATTCAGTAAGAGCTTGAATTCGTTCTCGTGTATAGTTGGATGCCTTCACCATGATTGCTTACTGAGTAATGATTGCTATGCGAAATCTTACCAAATAAATGCAGTGTAGGTTGCCATGCTTACGCCACCATCAGTTGTCGTACGAGCCAGTCACAAGAATTTTATTGTTAGTTGAAAGCCTCACGTGAAAAGCTCGACAATTCGAATGACCTACGTGTATACCGTGTGAACAGGTGAATGACCTTTTGAAAAATCAAATTGCTCATCGAAAATTTGCATGAAACTTTAACACATTCAACGAAAAGTTGAGCGACTTTTCAAGCGGCCTTTCGCCAACATCACTGATATTTCGAAGATGTTAAAACAATAGTGTCATCGAAAATTCGTGGACAATTCGTTCAAGTTTCGTTTCCTTTGAAAATTCGCTTTTTTTCACCACTGTTTGTCGAAATACATCGAAATTCGTTGAAATTCGCTTTCATTACTTTTGCACAGTACTGTATGAGAAGGCCATTACAGAAAATGTATGGGCATGTTCCCATAATTGCGAATTACTCAGCTATAAATAATTCAATCCAAAAAGAAATGAACAGTTTCAAATTCAACAATGCAGAGATGATGTCTGCTAACTTTCAGATCTATGGGTCAAATATTCAAGCTATAAGAAATTTATTTGTTAAATTACAGACCATGTATGGGAATGCCATTACAGAGAATGTATGGGCACATTGCACATAATAATATTGCGAATTTCTAGGCTCTAAATGATTCACTCCAAAAACAAAACAATAGTCTTAAAACAGAACACTTTTCACAAAATATCAGAAGAAAAGGTTTAATATTCGACCTATATGAATTATTTAATTATTTAATTTCACTCATTTTATCTTCTGTTTGTGTAATTATTGCCTTTCAGTTTTGGTAACAAATTCTCATAGATAGCAAGATTCATCATTCAATATTTGTATTTTGGATCATGTTTTCTGTCCACTCATGATTGGTGCAAATGGCCTTAGTTGATATTCATTGTTTCACCATTTCTGTCCTGTCATCTGATTGGTCATACAGTGCATCATTCCATACCTCTTTTGAACTTCATCTTGTGACAGTCCAGATGAATACCGATAAAACTGTTCTGGATAAGTACCATCATCAAGGCCCCTAACCAAAAATGATCAAACAGTTTCACTTTCATAACATCTAAAAAGCAACTGTCTCAGGGTTCCAGTTAGATTTTTAAGGCAGAGAGTCAATAAGGAATTTCAGTGTGTCAATTCCCCTGATCTGACCAAATCATTACCAATTGTCTTTCAATTTGTTGGGCCATGTAGTTGATTTTGCCGGTTTTTGACTTGAGACCCCTCACTTAACTGGAACTCTGCTATCTATAATTTTTGCAAATTGAGTGGCATAGGGGAAAAACCTATTTTTCCCACTTTTGCTGACAAGTATTTTATCATAGTGGGGCGCCACAACTAGTAACATTTGTGAAAGCCACCAGGCTCTAAACGTTTGGTTTCTCTGTCTACCTAACCATACAGCTGGATACACAATGCAAAGAGGGAGAAAATGCAGGATACAAATCACAGACTTAATTCAGTCCTCTTGAGACTGGTTCAGAATTGAGTTCATGACTTAACATGGATATGGAAGCAATGTCAGAATCAGAGTCAGAAGAGCCAGAGTCCTGACTAACCAAGTGCAACTTCTCTGTTTACTCACAAACCCCTGAACCCCTCAAGTGATTCACCTTTCCACTTACAGTACACCCTTTATCCCACACAGGATGCAATTCCTTGTAGATGGGTTGTAGTACTCCAAGGTGCAGGGCGACCATCCCCTATCTGAAGCATCCCCAGGTGGCAAGTAGGGGAATGACCTCCAGATATGGTGGCTTACTGTGAATAAAGCACATGCCAAATAGGCAGCCAAACAGCAGTGGTCATATCAGGGAGGAGAGGGTTTTGGGTCGCAATTACATCCCCAAGCAAAAGCTCTATGTGCCCCAAGACATGGTCATCTATAGGCAAAACAGGGCCGCCTCAAAAGCCCTTGGAAGCCAGTTGGTGAGACAATAAATCACATAGGAAAGGGAAACTCTAATTTCAAACCTAGACAGGTGGAGCTAATTAGCACTGACACTGCAGTCATGTAAGGGAAGGAAGCCCTAAAAGAAAACCCTGCCCCCCCCCNGGAGGGATGGTTTTTGTATCCATGACCCTATGAGCTATGTCAGCTAGAGTCTTGTACTTCTGGTAGGTTGAAGGATGGGGACCAGACAAATTGTGATCACCTGGCTTTCCAGGTTGGGTGCTGGGCTGAGGGCTGATAACCTATTACAGAAACCAGAAACAGAGCTAATTTGAGTCTTGATTGCAATATGGCTACCACTCTCTTCAATTGAGAGATTATGACACGTGAGGACCAAAGCTGAGAGGATGCCCTTGAGCCAAATTGGCCACTAGTCCAACCAAATAACATCAAGAAGATGGAACCTATGAATACTGTACAGAAGTGGGAACATTGCTTAGGTGGGGAGAGAATTGGCCACTGGAGGTATTGACATCATGGGAATTAGTGAAACATACTGTATGGAACAAGGGTAGAAAGAGAGGACAACCAAAGACCACCTGGAGGTGTACGGTAAGGAAAGAAAGGAACAAAGTGGGCTGCAAATCTTGGACCAAAAGTACAAAGAGCAGCAGCAGACAGAGGACAACAGAGGCACTCTGTAGAGGTTTTATGTAGCACCTAGTCACAAAAGAGGTGGGTTCAGGTACAGGTACAGGGTTGTAGTACTCTCGGAGGTTTGGCATGTACCTATATACTTCTTCAACTTGAGTTTTCTGTCCTGTGGCAATTGTTGTTGAACATCCTCATTCTTGATTCCAAGGACTATGAATTTGCACTTATCAGAAATTAAGGGCTGTCAGGTAAGCAACAAAGCTTTCTCACACTTTGTGGTTCCTTTGGTTCAACTTTAAACACTCATGTCTTGATGATACAACCAATAGAGGTGGAAGAAAGTAACAAGGCTATGATTGACTTAGCAGACAACAGAGTACCCAGCATTGATGAAAGTACTTTTAAGGGGAATGATCAGTACTACCCCAAGTTGAAACAATTGCTCATTATCACAATATCAGAGGCTAAGGAAAGTAACTGAAGGACTTTCCCCAGTCTAACAGCTACCAGGATCTTTCTTTCTCAAAAAACAGTCAGAGACTTGATTTAAAAATTCAAAGTGCAAAAACCAAAACCACACACTATATAATTTAAGGTGTGAGCTTGGACTCCTCATTACACTGGAGGACTCAGAATTCTCTTACCAAGTGTGCCTGTGTCACTGACAGAAAAATCATCTTCTCAACTATCGCCTCATAGAAATCAAGAGCAAATGATGTCAATGTGCTAGCAGAACTCTGACCAAATACAATGATCCTTCAAATAATGATTTGCACTTATTTCTCAACAAGAAGTATTGACTACTATATGCTTTGTGAATAGGCTGATTTGTGGAATAAAACTTGTATACATTCTTCACTCACTTAAAGGTACCTGCATGCACTTAAAAACCCACTACAATGTATTTTCATACAAACCTTAGAAATTGAAATCTCTCTTGTCCTTCACTCCACATATATCTTAGGTGTCTATGGCAAAAGTACTTTCTTTGTAAAGTCTGTGTAGAGTAAAGAGTATATATGAGAACCAATGACACTACACACCCTAAATAATCATATTTACTGAAAAAAGGGTTGCTCTGAGTGAGATTTGAGCCCACATCCCCCTGCATACTAGTCAGATGTGATATCACCTACACCATCACAACAACCATGCTAGCAACATAGCAATCGAAGAAGAGACTAGGCCATGGACTTTCCTTGAAACTCAACTAATGATCCAGTGAAGGACTGATACATAACCAAAGTCAACTAATATAAGAGGCTGACAACTGAGGATCCAGTTAAGGATACAGGCTATCCATATATACTAGTAGCAATCAAAGATTATGAGTGCATTCGTCTTCTACGCCTGTGATATAACTTAAATAGCTGTCTGTTGCTGAAATCATTATCTTTGTGAAGAGCTGAAATTTTACAGACAGATGTAACATAATGACAAAGTCCACTATTTTTCTGTAGATTACAGTCAAACCTCTATTAAGCAGCCACTCTGGGGGACAAGACAACTGGGACAGCAAGAAGCTGACTGCAGCCGCTCAATACAGGTGGCCATTGAATAGAGGTTTTTATTACAGTGTATAGCTGACAATTTTTTCCAGGATTTTGGCCACTACCTGCCAGATAAAAGTTGGCCGCTTAATAAAGGGCCGCTAATAGAGGTTCGGCTGTATTGTGATTTCCTTGCTTTATTGTTGACACATTGCGGTAAGTCACAAGTTTAATAGGACATTTGCCTTCAAAATTCACGCCAAAATCTCATTTTTACTTTTACTGGTAATTTTAAGCATAAAGGCTAATATTTAAAAGTACACTTGTGTTACATCTAGTATTCTAAGCTGGAAGCACAAATATCAGCTAGCATTTGCACTCGCGTGCCAGTTTATGTGTGGTTTATTGTAAACAAACTCTGTGCAACTGGCAGCTGATTCGAATATTTCTGCTGATGAATAGAAATAGTCAGCATTTACATTGTTGTTCTGGCTTACTCTTATAGATCTTGGCTTCAGAGAACTCTTCCATCGATTCAATTTTGAGCTTTGCTGGATACTGAACTATTCTCACTCATGGAAAAGCCTCAGCGTGCCTTTCCTCACTTCTTTGAATCATGTGTTTTTGGTTTGGCTAAATTCTATTGGCCCTACAAGTCCCTAGAGGTCCCCATAAGGCTTTTTATACACCCCGGTCGGCCTATTTTGCCCTCTTTTTGCAAGTCCACTCTTGGTTTCAGTTCATCCAGTTTTTTCCCCTCCCAACTCCCTTCAGCAACGCTGATGAATTTAACCCAAAACCCTCAGCTTACTCTGCGCCTTAAGCAAATTTTTTTTGGCCCACAACTTACCGTGGAATTCTGAAAGTAACCGTCCCCCCGAAAGTAACGTTAACTTTTTATCTTTCTATTAAATCCTGAAAGTAACAACCCCCCCGAAAGTAATGATCCCCCTGAAAGTAACAGCCCTTTCAAAAATGACAACTCAAAAACAATAAAATCTGTTGTTTTTAATGTAACGCCTGTTTCAAACAGTACGGTAAGTGCTTAGAAATACAACTTGGCAGTGAATTGAATAANAGTGGAAAGTTCATGCCTCACTGTCCCACCCGCCCCCAACCTACATGTTGGTTACCATCAGTAATTTCCATCTTTTTTAGTACAGCATGGGTCAAGAGGGAGAAGAAAAATTAATTAATAATTAATACAATTAATTTCAGTCTTCCATGAAATATTTCCCTCACTTTTTTTGGAAACAGTTAGATGCCAAAAATTAAAACTGAAGACTCAGCAACATGTCTGTGTAAGTATGCCATTATTTATAGCAATCTGAATCTGACACATAACTCATATGATCACAGCCATATCCTTTAGCAGCAGCTGAGAACATTGCTACTTGCCCCCCTTCCCCCTCCCCTCCCTTCCCCCTCTGGATGGGAGACTAGTTTTTCAAAGCAATATTCAACATTAGTATATACCACACAAGTGAATAGTACTTTTCACGCACGCTGATTGGCTAGCTCGGAGGTGATTAGCCAATTACTATTCACCTCTGAGCAGCCAAAGAAAAACAAAATGGCTTCCCGTCAGTATATTGTCACAAACAAAATTACTCATCGGTCCGCTAGTTATTCAGCTTGTGTGATATATACTAAGACAATTATTCACCTCAGTGTCGGTGAAAGCGGCTCAGTAAATATCCACCACTATCCACCTCCACTTCGGTGAAATAATTGTTAACCAAGCAATGTTAGGTTAGTTACCCAATTCACTGGTACACAGTTATTAAAATCATGTTTGGAAATTGATATTATACTAGGCAAGTTTTTTTTTGTTTTTTTAAAGAGAAATTTAGCTTCAGCAGTAATCACTTAAAATAGAAATTTTTTAACATACCGTAGAATTCCGAAAGTAACGGCCCCCCCAAAAGTGACGGCTCCCCGAAAGTAACGTTAATTTTTTACCTTTCTATTAAATCCCGAAAGTAACGGGCCCCCCGAAAGTAACGATCCCCCCGAAAGTAGAGGCCCTTTCAAAAATGACAACTCAAAAACAAAAAAATCTGTTGTATTTAATGTGACGCCTGTTTCAAACAGTACGGTAAGTGCTTAGAAATACAACTTGGCAGTGAATTGAATAATTTCCTATTTTATTTATAGCAAATACCAATCAGTGGTCTCTTGTGTGTATTTTCAAACTCGATTCAAAAGCATTGCATAAAATAACTACCGGTGATACGGTACTGTACTAGGGCCGTACTTCAAATAAAATGTGACCAATTGTCTCCATTTGGATCAACTCTAATCAATCAAGCAGTCTTTTAAATATTCGCTCATTTCATCTTTACCGGTACCTGTACCGGTGTTTAACGTAACGTAACTGGAACTGGAAACTTCGGGCTATCGATCGTAAACTGTGTACGGTAGTTTAATCTTCGTCGTGGAACCATATTTGTTCTACATCGCTGGAATGTCCAACTGAATAGTTTTTAATTCATACTTACACATAAGGGCTGTATGTGCCAGATACGGTATGATCAGAGTCAAATAATACAGTATTTAGTTCCCGTATAATATGAACGCTATGTTTGGCGCCTTTTTTTGTTACAGTATGCTTTGGTAATAAATACGTAACGCCTGATCGCAGGTTAATACGTAACCTGAATGACCTTTTCACACGTATCATGTAACGTGTATTCTTTGTGTAAAATGACTGCCCAATTACAAACTTTTTTTAACCATCCGAAAGTAACGGCTACCCGAAAGTAGTGACTCCTTGGGCCTGCTAAATCCGAAAGTAACGGGGGCCGTTACTTTCGGAATTCTACGGTATTTCCCATTAATTTTCTTATTAAGAAGTTATTGCTGTGTAAGTAAAAAATCAACTAAGGAAAGGTCTAGTAGAAATGAAAAGAAATAAAATCAAGGAATATTTTACAATTGGTACTTGTACATCTGGTATAGTGCGGTGAAGGGCAAATAAGACAAAAAATCAACAAATAGCTAATATCGCTATCCTTTAGTGTCTGTTTAACCCATTGACTCCTGGAGCTTTTTGCCAAAAGCACATTTTTTGGACATTTTGGAGATTTTCAGGCTTTATACGGGCCAAATTAGCTCCAATCTACTCAAAAAGGCATTTGCAACATGACAGCATGTCTCTCTTTCCACTAGCATCATGTTTTATGACATTTTTGCTCAGGCACGTGAAGAAATCAAAATTTTGAGATATTTTGAGTCCTGCACCAGTCCTTCGTCCATCCAGCCTTTCTCTTGACACCTGACGATGACCCCTTTTGGGAAGTTCACCTTCTTTGGTAGTGTCTTTCGTTTAAATACAACGTACTGTGGGAGCTTCGTTCCGTCTCCGAGAAGAGCAAGCATGACAGTGAACCTGTCCTTTTCGTGACCTGTGGTTAAAATTGACACGCTCTTTACTCGTTTCTCTGATACTGTGGAACTGGTCGCAA